GGGGGGGGAGGGACCGGGACTCCATATCCCTAACAAGATTCAGATTCCTAGTAAAGAAGGGACCTGATTCACACACACACACACACATACATATATATCATTCACCATAGGGCAGACTTTTCTAGTTTTTCAAGTTTGGAAGACCCACGTTGAATCTCAGACATGAAAGAGCATGGCCAATAACAGATATTTTTGTTTTTTTAATTTATTTTTAGCATCCATAGATTTTAGAGAACAGTTAAATTGCTAGAAATCATTACCTTAATCTTTGATAATTTTAATGAAAACTGGAATGCATCTCTATTTGACATGTCCTAAAAGAGTTTTTCAGTCTCTATTCCGGAAACTGTTGTACAATGTCCCAATGGGTTGGGCTTGACCCAAGTGGCCCAGGTTCAATCCCTACTCACATTATTTGAACCGGGGCCCCATCGGAGCACATCCACACGCCTAGCTGTTTGCAAAAGCCAATATGGCTCAAATTATGTCCTTTAATTATGTTTTAATGGCATTAGTGATATATAATTCATGACTTCATAGGAACAGTGGTTTAAGTAAGTTGCTTTAACATGATGAGCTGAGAAAGCATTTTCCGTGTAAATTGATAGTTTTTAAGTTATAATTCGACATTTAAGAGTTATATAACTTTTATAATCAATCTTTAAAATGTTATGATCGATATTTTCTTTGNGTTATAATTCGACATTTAAGAGTTATATAACTTTTATAATCAATCTTTAAAATGTTATGATCGATATTTTCTTTGTAGTTATAATTTACATACAAAAAATTATTAATTTTTGGTATGGAGAGGGTAGCCTAGCCTAGTCTTTTGCTTTCTAAATTCTACCCAGCCTAGCAAAACTGTGTAGCCAAGGCATGCATTGTGCAAGCTAATGAATTGAAAACTGACAGGAAATGAGAACAGTCTAGCGTCTTGGTTGTGTGTTCCTATTTGGGGGGAGAGAGAGAAGATGGAAATGACTTTCTCCAAAGGCTCTGCAGAAGACACAAGTAGTGTTTCGATGATGCAAATATCTCTTTACATTATCAAAAGGACCCAGCTTTCCTAGAATTGCAAGCCATAAGATGAAACCCATTCTGAGAATCTGTTGAGGATACCAATGGAGCCTGAACCAGCAAACTTTAGGACCAGGATTAGAAAGAAAATTCCCAGCTAAACGAGCGAAGAAGGTAAGCTTCATAGCTCTAACCTAGTAAAGGGGCTGTCCCCGCCGCTTACTAAGCGCTGTTTCTATCCCGAGCCCAGGCAGCTCGGTATAACTCCAAGCAAATATGCCCCAAGTATTCCTTAAGGAGCTGAACGTATTCTTCAGCTTCTTTGAAGCAAAAGCTAGGTTGGCACTCGGGAAAGCATGTCTAACACCATACCCATATGATAACAAGTGATTAATATTCCATTTGGGAATCCTAACCTCGGTCAACTGGTTCTGGACCAATAGATGGTACTGAATGCTTGAACCTCTGCATCTCAAAACTTGGAGACTAGTTCTCGAAAGGCATTGCTTCTTGCTTTCGAGCCCAAGCCTATTTTTGCTTAGTAAGTAAGCTTTTATATCTACTCAATAAAGGCGGCAACCATTTCACACTGTCCTGTTGTTGTGGATTTGGCGAGGATGAGAGGTGCATGAAATTGGACTGCAGGGTACACGAAATTAAATACGAATCAATGAAGTGAAAAAGGAAATCCAGGACAAGCAGGAGAGGATTATTGCAGTGGTTCATCAATTTTCCCCAAATATGAGTGTGCACGGGATAATTCNAAGCAGGAGAGGATTATTGCAGTGGTTCATCAATTTTCCCCAAATATGAGTGTGCACGGGATAATTCCTAGAATCTTATGAGACAGCGATCTCCCGGCTAGCGAACCTGAAAAAGCAGGGTCAGAAAAAAGGGGGTTAGGAGTGTGCCCGGCTAATCCCCTCCGAAACGTAAATCAGTGTAAGATCGAAGGGTTTTGCTTAATGAACTATCTTTTTGGTTCGAGTTTGCGTACTTTTGTCCATTTTTCTGAGGAATATTTATACCTGAATTAGCNTGAACTATCTTTTTGGTTCGAGTTTGCGTACTTTTGTCCATTTTTCTGAGGAATATTTATACCTGAATTAGCAATGATTGCCAAAGATCTCCAGTCTCATCTGAACATCTCACATTTAACATACCAGTCCTCATGCAATGAGTGTTTTCTATTCACGTCTCCTCCTATTGAATGCTAGGAAAATGGGGTAAATTCTCGGCCATGTGCCGAGCATTTATGCCACTTCCCGAGTACCCAAATCCCCCAAATCGATATCTGACATCAATTGAGCATTGAATACTCGGGGGGAACAATTCCTCGGGAGATCCACTCGCGTCATCTTGGCGCATCAGCTATTAATACTTAGCCATTATGACAATAGGTTTAGACTCCCAGAGCGTAGGTGCTAGTAGACGCGCATTTATTTGCCTTGTTACTATCACTCATTTCGCTATTAATGTGGGGTCACATCGCATTGAATACGATGCCAGCTGTCGTACTCTGCTACTCAGGGTCACCATACCTCAACTTTCCTCCTCGGCACCCTTTGGATATCCCAACGGTTTTATTATTCCACGTGTCAACCTGGGGGCTGAAGAGCCACCTAAAGTCCCGCTAACTTCCCCCAACCGCAATTCTTTTCGCAGCGCAAGACAAATGGCGTAAACAGATTGAAGCTCCATCATCACACCTTATTAATAGCGACGGTTACTTGAACGTCTGGTGCCACCCTTTTCAAATGCCCTAATGATGAGCCAACTTTTCGATTCCCGCTCCTAGTGAGGCAGTATAAATAGGAGGTTTTCACACCTTCTCAGAACTTTTGCATCGTTAATCTCTCCTCAGTAGTCAGACCTAGAGTGCTCTTCTATTCTCTGAGTTTCCTTGGTCCTCCGAGCTCTCTTTGAAGACCACCTTCCTGTAAGTACTTCTACTTGAGTTTTTTTCTCTCTTCATTTCCTCTATATTTCGTCCTTTTAGCGCCCACCAATGACTAGAACTAGTAAAACCAGGGGAAAACATCTGTTAGGACTAGTACTACCCACAAGATGAGGAGAACTCAAGTGACTGATGAGAATATCCAAGCCTTTAGGGTTAGGTACCACATCCGTGAGCTTGTCTTCGCTTTCCNCAAGTGACTGATGAGAATATCCAAGCCTTTAGGGTTAGGTACCACATCCGTGAGCTTGTCTTCGCTTTCCCCTTCAACCCCACTCATCATAGGAGGGATATGAGAAATGTGGACATGATGNTGACATCAATTGAGCATTGAATACTCGGGGGGAACAATTCCTCGGGAGATCCACTCTCATCTTGGCGCATCAGCTATTAATACTTAGCCATCATGACAATAGGTTTAGACTCCTAGAGCGTAGGTGCTGGTAGACGCGCATTTATTTGCCTTGTTACTATCACTCCTTTCGCTATAAATGTGGGGTCACATCGCATTGAATACGATGTCAGCTGTCGTACTCGGCTGCTCAGGGTCACCATACCTCAACTTTCCTCCTCGGCACCCTTTGGATATCCCAACGATTTTATTATTCCACGTGTCAACCTGGGGGCTGAAGAGCCACCTAGAGTCCCGGTAACTACCCCCCAGCCGCAATCCTTTTCGCAGCGCAAGACAAGTGGCGTAAACAGATTGAAGTTCCATCATCACGCCTTATTAATAGCGACAGTTACTTGAACGTCTGGTGCCACCCTTTTCAAATGCCCTAATGATGAGCCAATTTTTCGATTCCCGCTCCCAGTGAGACAGTATAAATAGGAGGTTTTCACACCTTCTCAGAACTTTTGCATCCTTAATCTCTCCTCAGTAGTTAGACCCAGAGTGCTCTTCTGTTCTCTGAGTTTCCTTGGTCCTCCAAGCTCTCTTTGAAGACCACCTTCTTGTAAGTACTTCTACTTGAGTTTTTTCTCTCTTCATTTCCTCTACATTTCGTCCTTTTAGCGCCCACCAATGGCTAGAACTAGTAAAACCAGGNCTGTAAGTACTTCTACTTGAGTTTTTTCTCTCTTCATTTCCTCTACATTTCGTCCTTTTAGCGCCCACCAATGGCTAGAACTAGTAAAACCAGGGGAAAACATCTATTAGGACTAGTACTACCCACAAGATGAGGAGAACTCAAGTGACTGATGAGAATATCCAAGCCTTTAGGGTTAGGTACCACATCAGTGAGCCTGTCTTCACTTTTTCCTTCAACCCCACTCACTATAGGAGGGATATGGGAACTGCGGACATGATACCTTTCTGGACGAAGGCCATCATGGAAGGAGGGTTGACCTTCCCCCTCCATCCCATGTTGCTGGGAGTCTTGATGCAACTGAAGCTCTTTCCCCTCCAATGTGGGGTTAACTTCTTTAGAATTGTGATGGGCGTAGTCGTCTTAAACACTCGGTTGGGGACTAACTTAGGGGTAAAAGAAAATTTATTCTGCTACGACCTAAGGCTCGTCGCCGGGGGGCGATATTACCTCCAGGCCTGAGATTCCTCAATGTACTTAGTAACCCCCATGCCTGACTCGGACAAGGGGTATGTGGACGATTTGATCATGCTCGGTGGCAGTTGGGAGACAGGGATCGGGCCCGAGTATGACGGATTGTACTGCCCCAAAGTGCCGAGGGATGAAGGTATGTTTTGTTTTCGACTTCTTGATTTATCTATTCTTGGGTCCGAGGGACGTACTGATTTTTACTTTACTTTTACAGAAGGATATCACCGAGACGTTGCCCAACCGCTGAGGTCCCAAGTCCGATTTGCTGATCTGCTAAGGGTCTGATCCTCGGATCTAGCTGAACAAGCGGCACATACCCTTCTCGGCTACACGCCAACCTACAGTCGATTCTCCCAGATCCCACCTCCTTTCAACCCTTCCATTTGGGAAGATCACTCCTCGTTAGAAGAGGAAGAATTCGAGGGAGGTTCCGAAGANGTCGCCGGGGGACGATATTACCCCCAGGCTCGAGATTCCTCAATATATTTGGTAACACACATGCCCGACTCGGACAAGGGGTATGTAGACGATCTGATCATGCTCGGCGGGAGTTGGGAGAAAGAGACCGGGCCCAAGTATAANGATTCCTCAATATATTTGGTAACACACATGCCCGACTCGGACAAGGGGTATGTAGACGATCTGATCATGCTCGGCGGGAGTTGGGAGAAAGAGACCGGGCCCAAGTATAACTGATTGTACTGCCCCAAAGTGCCGAGGGATGAATGTGTGTTTTCTTTTCGACTTCTTGATTTATCTATTCTTGGTTCTGAGGGATGTACTGATTTTGCTTTGTTTTTGTAGAAGGATATCGCCGGGACGCTGCTCAACCGTTGAGGTCCCAAAGTCCGGTTTGCTGACCTGCTAAGGGTTTGGTCCTCAGACCCGGTTGAACGAGCGGCACATACCCTCCTTGGCTACACGCTGATCTATAGTCGATTCTCCCAGATCCCACCTCCTTTCAATCCTTCCGTTTGGAAAGATCACACCTCGTCGGAAGAGGAAGAATCAGAGGGAGGTTCCGAAGAAGAGTTTCAGCATCCCGCTCCCGAGCCACTTGCACCCGAGATGTTTAATCCGCCACCCATCACAGTAGCTTTAATGGAGGCCGTCGCCTCGACAAGGAAAACCAGGCTCGCCGGGCCTTCCAACACTGCCCCTATCATCCCCTAGCCTAGTTGCCCTTGGAGATAGCCGCCCCCACCGCCGCCGCGTACGTAACCCAGGGATCCAACCGTGTCAACCAGGCAAAGGCCCCAATCTTAACAAGTCCACGCTCTGGGAGATCGGTTGAGGGACAGGCGTGCCCAGGACGTCGAACAATCTGAGGAGCGTCGTGTAAAGTAGCAGCATGTTGCCCCGGCCCCGGGCCCGTCTGTCTCAGGCGAGTAGGTTGCTCGGGCTGAGATCAGGAGTGACCGGCCTGTTCTGGAAGCCGATTCCATCCTCCAATCCCCCGAAGTGGCATTTGCCATCGTGGGGACGCTTCAATTTGATGCCGATATGGTCATGTACAAAGGTTACTCAGACAATCGGCTCTTGATGAGCACTATCCAAAACAACCTGGTGGTAAGTTTAACGTTTTCCCGAGTAGTCCTCGCACCCTTTTGGTCGTTCCCTAATATTCCTCATTTTTTCAGGCTAGCCAGCAGGTGGGAGCCATCATTGAACGTTTTTTGGAATATAAGCAAGAGGCGAAAAACGCCGAGCGAGCCGTAGCTACTAAGGAAGACCATATCCTCAAGGTCGAGAGGACCCTCGGAGACCAAATTAAGCACATCGCCGAGCTCATCCGCTATCGAGACGTCATTCATGCCGAGCTGAAAAAAGGCCAAGGCGGGTGAAGCTGCAACGATAAAGATGGCCGAGGAGTACGAGCTGCGAGTGCNGCGGAGCTGAAAAAGGCCAAGGCGGGTGAAGCTGCAACGATAAAGATGGCCGAGGAGTATGAGCTG